TTCTATTATTTAAGTAGTTTAAAAAGTATATTTTTTTTTCCTTATTCTGATAGTTCTTTTCAACTTATTATTTTTCGCTAAAAAATAGGACTTAAGGGTTAAAATTGTACAAGCTTAAATTAAATTAAATTAATAAAGTCTTTCTTAAATCTCAATATTAAAATTAAATAAAGATGGGCAACATTTGAACCATATGTTTTGACATTGAGCTAAATTTCTTTGTTGAGCAGTTAGTAAAATCAAAACACTATGGAATTTGAATTACTTAAAGTGTTAATGGGCGTCTTTAAAATAAGAAAATCTTCAGGGACTACAATTAAATAGCTGTCGAGGCCACAAAAATCCAAATTATCTGTGGAGTATCGCCCCTGCCAGGACTTCACCCCCCAAATCCTGTTGGCACCCCCTTTTGTGGGCTTTTGTGGGCTGTTCTCTGCGTCTGTCTGCGGCCTGCATTTTTCGCCCTTTGCGACGATACAAGCTTTTGCATTGCCAACATTTTTTTGTGCTTTTGTCGCCGCTTTTCCCTTCACTTTTCGCCCCGCGGCCGTTCAGGAATTTTCCGCTTTTTGTTTTCGCCAGCAAAAGCTCCTGTGGCCTAAGTCCGCTTGTATTTGCCAATTTTGTGTGCTGCCCACAACAGGAACATCAGTAGCAGTACTAGTTACAACAGCTAGGGAAACAAACAGGAGGAGCAGAACTGCAAGGACCTCGGGGCTAGAGGGCAGGACGAAGAGAAACTAATTTCTTCCCGGGATTTCGGCTTCTTTTGTATCGCTCTGGTGTGTTTGTGTGCGTTTGTGGCTCGCGGCTGAGTTAAGTTTTTCCCATTGTTGTGAGGGTTTTACTCCAGTTTTTCCTTGTTTGCCACTGCTTCTGTTGGCTAGCTTGTTAGCCATCGCCAACCAGCCAGCCAGTTGCCCAAATGCCATTTCCTGCCGCCCATGGCCGTAGGCCAAAATATTTAAATTATTATTTTCAGCTCTGCCGAAGAAAGGCAAATTTGATTAGGAAAATAAATGCTACCCGGGGGACTTAACATGCCATTCCAATTTGAGCCAATTTACCCATACTTGTCCTCGACAGACACACAATTTCACCTTTCACCTGAGCTGTGAGAATATCGGAAATCGTTAAGACAAAACAAAAAATGAGAAAACCATGGAACGATTTCGGGGATGTTAGGCTGCAGATGATGCATTTTCTTGTTAATTAGTTGCAGTCTGTTTATGCTGCGTAATTTATGGCATCTGTTTCGGGCTCCAAAAGATGCACTAGAAGAAACAGAGAATATAAAGTAGGTATTTTCATAGAGTCATTTTCAAACTATAATTTATTTGAACAACTTTTTAAACTTTAATTACAATTATTTAGATTATTCTATGGTAAAAAAGTATTTTATAAAATTTTATTATATTCAATTAAATTCATTTTAAGCCTAAATATATATATTTATTTAAATTAGTTAATCAGATAGTCAAGAACAAAACTCTTAACAATTTAAAGTGAGTCTGCTATGATTTTCATTTCATTTGTAGTATTTTTTGTTTAACTACTTACATTTTGAGAGTGCAAGTTCGAAAGTAAACATTTTCAGTTTATTTGAAGTATTATGTTATTAGTTAGTTAGTTATTTTCGTAGTGTAGTTAATTATACGCATTTTCGGTATATGTAAGGTTCACAGAGGCGTGAGGTCATCTGAGGTCTGACTGTCTTGTGTCTGGATATCCGATATAATTCACATTCAATTTCCATTTCCAATCTGTGGCCGCGGCACCCGAGGCATCCACATACCCACATGAGTGTGTGTGTGTCGCATCCCAGATGCCGTCAGATGCAGTTGCCCCATCCTCCACGTAATAATCAACCCCTTGTGAGGGGAGATGTTGTGTGGCATCATGTTGTACACTGCCCCTGTAAACAAAACATTCATCAAAATTTTATACACTCAACATGTGCCACGCCTGACTGCAGTTTCCCCCCGTCGAATTTCGCCCCGGGCTGACAACAATATTGTTTGTGTTTTCGGCTGCCCGCTTCGATTTTGAATGTTCTTTGAAAAATCACAACTAATTAACTTTGCCCATAGCTCCAAATTACGTGGGAGTTGGGAAAGTTGGGGGAAGTAGGGATGTTGCGGGGAGGTGCCATTGCCCTTTCGCACCGAGAAACGATTTTTGTGTGGCCTGCTCCTGGCGGCCAGATGTGGGTTGTGATCTCTGTGAGCTGGCTGCTGGATCCCAAATGAAGTTTATAAATAGGCCACGAGTTCGGGGCTGAGGTAGTTTTCGCCGACATCCGGTGGCTTGATAAGAAATCTCCGCTAAATGAGGCCCATCAGCGACAGAGGTGAGTTGCAGCCAGATTTACGGACTCACGGATTCAGGGAAGCGTGTGGCTGGCTGCCATTAAATGTTGAACTTTATCTCCAAGTTCATCAGACTATAAAAAGGAAACTGGGGGGAAAATCATTTTTCTTGTTTTAATTACCGCAGTACTTTTGGTGTTTGCGCTGTTAAGACGAATCATATTTTTATCTACTTGTAAAAGAAGATTTAACGAATAGACTGATAAAACATGGAATAACAAAAACAAATATCTGACTATTGAAATCAAAATGTTAAATTAACTATTTAAATTAAATTAAGTACAATGCATATTAAGTTTCATAATTTAATTTAATTTGGAAAATATTAGATTTATATTAGTTCCTTTAAAGTTCCTTTAAATTCATAAAACTTTTTTTTTTTTTATTGTGTAAAGCTGCGTGCATATATATTTAATATTTGAATTAATGAAAGCATAGTGAAGCAACATAAATATAAAATAAATCTCCGCGGAATATTTGTATTAAGAAACTGAAGAATTCCCCTTTCATTAAGACCACCGCAAACTGCACTACTTTTATCAATATACTTTTTTAAGACCGCACAGTTCCCAGTTTGGTATCTCTTTTAACCATCATTTCCATTTCTCAGTTTAATTCGAGAGGCAAACTTTTGTTAATTGCAACAAGCGTGACTGGCTGTGCAAAAAGTTCATAAAAATGAGTAATTTTGCTGCAGCTCTCGTTTGCATTCCGCGGCTGTGATTGAGGAGCTGATGCTGCTGGAGCTGAAGCTGATTGTTTCCTGGCCACTGCCTCCATTGTGCGGCAGTCAACTTCTGGGGCAACTTACGATGGGAAAGTCAGATGGCAGCAGTCCTGATCCTGCCACCAGCCATTCACCAGGTGCCGCAGACAATGGAGGTATTTATTAAAACAAACTTGGCTCGAATGCGGCACCCTCGTTTGGCCTTGGGCGAAAGTTTAGCTGCAACTTTGGGATGCAAGTTGGCAGGCGCATAAATGTCACTTACGCGCTTCTTGACGCCACCAACCATTGTGCTCAGTGCCAGTGGACGCAGTCAACTATTGGGGGAATTGCGAAAGTGACAATTTCGACAGGCGCCGGATGGAGCGAGTCCTGCGGGAATCCTGTTGCCGAAGTGTAAGTGCAAATTCAGTTTGGTTTAATTTCGACAGGCTGCGGTCGCGTTCGCCATTCTCCATTCGCCCATCTCCATTCGCCATTCTCCATTGACCAAGTGCTGTCACCATCATCGTCCTGCCTCTGGAGAGCGTCCTGCCGGAGGATCTTTATTAAGTTTTTCGCTTACTTCTCGCCAACGAAAGTTTGCCGCCCCGGCAAGTTTGCCTTCAAGCCGTTCTCACTGTTTTTATACATTACGGCTTTTGTTTTCTGGTGCAGATTTCATCTAGCCCATCCTCGGGCAAAACTTTCCCCTCTGTGAAGTGTCCTTTGCAAATTTGTTCTCTATCGCCTTGCATGCAAACAACAAAAACATACAAAAAAAAATCGCCAAAAGTTTGCATTGGCAGCAAATTAATATTTTTGCAAATATTTGACAAACTTTTTCCGCTTTCAAAATGCCAAGTTAAAAAAATTATTTGCGGATTTCATTGATTTGCTGCTATCTTTCTCCTCCACTTCTATATCGGTTTTGCAAAGGAAATTGAAAAAAAAAGTTTTTATTGACAGTGAATTAAAGTTTATGCAAAATTGTTTGAGGTCACTGACAAATAAAAGAGCTGTGTGTTCATTTGCCTAAGCCTACAAATATTTCAATTTATGGGAATGCTGCAATAAGTATTCAAAAATCGACTTATTTGAGAGTCTTGGGAAAAGCCGGTAGTTTGTATTATTTTTGCCCAGCTGCAGCTGGAATGCTCGATTGCATTTGAGTTATTGCTAGGAAGCAGATGACAGGACCTGCCTCCCATCTTAGACACCTATCGCATATCTGCTCCATGTCCTTGTGCATTTTCCTCACATCCCATTAGTACATATTCCATATTTTGGTATTTATCTTGTCGGACAATAAAATAAAGCAAAATTCGCATGTAGTCCGGGGAGGGGTGGGGTGCAAAAGGATGCCCAAGTGGGTCACTAAGGTCCTTCAGTCGCTGCTCTAGTTCGTCGGTGAATGCCACAGGAATTTACATGTTCGAATTCTCTTTAAGCATTTTGTAAGCCGCTCTGGTCCTGGCCATTCGAAAACAACGTAAGCTGCATGCATCCCCATTTTTACAAGTTCTTTGAAGCAGGATAGTTTTACACTTTGAAAAACTATCAAGAAATATTTTTAAAAAATAAAACCAAGTCAATGCAAAAACAAATGTAAATTTATCAATTGCTGAATAAAATGTAATATTCTGACAACCAAGTCATAGCTTTCTAAATATTAGTTTAAGACCAAATATTTTGATAGCTCTAAATTTGAAGTAATTAATTTAGCGTGTTTTAATACTAAAATAAGCTTGACAAACAAAAAAAGTGCTTTCTATTTAAATATTAAATTAAATATAATTATTAAATATAAAATATATTAGCTTGTCAAACAGCTAAATATTTCATTTTCAGCTTGTTAAATATTAAAATATTTGATGGCCAGCTGGTTCCCAAGCTAGTTTTTTTCCAGTGTGACTATCAATTCTCAGCTGTCGTTTGTACATGAAAACTTATATATTTTTTCCACAATATCATCGTTGAAAGGATGCAAGAGGACGTGTGCCAGCAAGTCATAGCCCGCAATGTGCCGCAGTTGGTGCGATTGCTGCTGGACTCACCCGTGGAGGGCTGGAAAAAGGATGGTGAAAGTGGAAGGACAGTGGACTCTAACACCTTCGAGAGTTGCCTCAGCTATGCCAGGGATCAGCTGGAGCATCCCGAGGACAAACAGGAATCCTGTCCGGAAGCCGTGTGCCTCAACATGAACCATTTTATGGAGCGCTATCGCAGTGAGGAGTTGCCCGAATTTGCGGACACCTTCAAGCAGCTGGCCAATGTGATACTGATCCATCCGATTTGCTTGAATCACATGCAGAAAAATATGCAGTGGCGCCTTCTGGACTTTATGCTCTCCGTGAACTACAAGGCTTTTCAGGCGGTTCATCGGAATAGTAAGGAGATGGAGAAGAAGCGGAAGAGCATCCTGGAGGCACTCACTCTGGCCACCGAAAGCGCGGCAGTTATTTGTGAGGAAAAGTTAAGAGCTAGTCTTTCCAGATCACAAACAATGAGTTCAAAAAGTGCAACCTATGAAAATGTGTCCGTAGCTCACCGAGAATGCCCCAAGAAAATGACCCAAAGTGCCAGGAGTTTGGTCAGCTCAGAACGTAGAGGTCGCTTTTGGGATGCTGAAAGTGAACTCAGCTTGGATAATTCCTCCATGAAATCTCTTCCATCTCTGGAACTAACAGACTCGCAGAAAGAACATCAACCATCTACTTATGAAAAACACAAATTTAATAAGATCCAAGTCAAGGAGAACTTTGCCACCAATGAGGCCAAAATGGAGTTGGCACTGAATCTTATCCAGTTGGAGTCCTCAGCCGCTAAGCCCACAAAGGCTGACCTATTCAAAGGTTCCAATGACCTGCTCTCCCGAATTCAAACACCCTGGTGGCAAGTTGATATACACGTCTATCCGCAGCCACGAATTTTGGCCAGTAGTTTCAGCCTGGAGTATGGCAATTGGATGCTCTATCAGCTAAGGGAATGTCGTCACTCGGTGCGAAAAACAAGCGAGGAGCAACAGCTTTTGAGAGAACTGATTATTCTTTTCATTGCCACTGTAGACTTTGATTTCTTTGAGATTTTGGATAATGAACTGGAGTTGCGGAGGGACAGACCACACACTTGTGCCATCAGTCAGTTGATGGAGGGACCACTCCTGCCTCCAATCCTCAGCTCCTTGAAAGAAATGCGTCACCTGAGGCAATTGATAGAGGTGCATACCACAAAAAGAATAACTGGTGATCGCTTGGAGACCCTGACTTCTTTCAGTGTGGCTCTGCGGCGACTTCTTCGACCTGTGATGGAGTTTTTGGTTTACTTTGAACGCCGACTGACAAGGGGCATTGAAACACCTACTCTGCAGCACTTTTTGGAGTCTTCAAGTGCTCATTTGGAAAGGATACAGTTGCTATATCAACTCAGTAATATCAATATTGAAGGAGAACCTACGTTGCGAAGCCTGCACATTGTGGAATCCCTGCTTACGTATACTTCCAATAGCAGTTTATCGAAAATGCATCGAAACTTGAGTGCAGCATTACTACTACACTCGTTGCAGGCCTATTGCCAATTTCTGGACAACTGGTGGTCAACTGGGGAGTTTACAGACTGGCACGAAGAGTTTCCCCACCAACGACTACTGATTGATGGAAGAACAGAATATGGTCGTAGAAAGATAGAATTGCCAGATGGGAATTTATTTCAAATCATTCAGAGCCACTTTAATGAATCTCGTGAAGCGTTGGCCATACTCTACGATACTCGTAAAATAGGTGACTTTAACTGCTTGCATGGAAATATATCCCAGACATGCCTGCACAATTCATTGATGGACTCAGTGCAAAGGGAGCTAACTCCGTATCAGACAGAAAGCTTGGAGGAAAGTGGTTATGCCCCCGATATCCTGGAACAGTTGTGGTTCATCGATCAGGAGCCAGTGCGTCGAATGTTCTACTCATTTCACATGGAAACTCGACCGGATCCACAACAACCTGCAGATTGCTCTGTTGATGAGTTGCTCCGAAACTTTCAAGCCTGTGCCGACTACACTCCCATTTCGGAGATCATTTGCCATGAATTTAGAAGATTACTGCATCGACGTTCCTTGTTGGCCAACTCTTATGTCTCAGATCTGGTGAAAAAGTCAGAGGTGGACAAGATTGTAAGGCACCTTCGATCAGTATTTCTTCTCTTAAAGTATGACCTCTGCCGAAGTGAGTTTAATCAATTCTTTGACTCGCTGGAAAGAAACCTACTAACAATGGCCTCCAATCAGTTGAAAGAGATCCTAGTTTCCCAAGATCCTCGGCTTGGTTATCTGTTTCATATTAACATAACCGGGCCACATACTGAATGTATCTGTTTAAAAGTCAGCTACGATCCTTTGCTAAACAGAGTGATAAGCCAGGAAAAAATCAAGCACATGAACCACTATTTTCGTCTGAATTTGAACCTGCACTTTTCGCTGTATCAGCTAAGGAATTTGCCTGCTTTGAATATAGCCAAGCCAAAGCGATTGGTTCAAGCTCTGCAAAGTTTAAGGACTTTGATAGCTACTACCCTTGAAAAGCAGCTATCTCATTTTGCAAAATTCCATCAGCCAGAAGTATTTACCACTTTAAGTGAGCTAAGACAAAACCACGACATGTTCATGCTTCAAATGAAGGAGAAGCTGCGAGTGGAATTCGAGGGAGGACAATATCCTTACCGTTTGGAAGATATCCTCAGCCTGAGCAGAGTCTTGAGGTATCGGTGGCTAAGAGTCTGGACCCTCATCAACGACTATAGCAGGCAGAAATCGACTTACATCTGCGATGCGAAATACGAGTGGTTGCGGTTCGACTACCTGCAAGCCACTTTCAAACACTGCAAGGCGATTGGCTGCTTTCTCGGCCAGAAATGATGTGAGGTGTTTTCCGTATCTGTCAGATACATTATGTTGCTAGACAGACAGCATGCGACGAAGTTCAGAAAAATATTGTTAAAACTTTCAAAAATTTTAAATTCCTTATTGTTTCTTGATTTTTTGCAAATATTTTGAGGCTTAAAACTATTTATTATATATTTTTAAGGTACAGTCAAAGAAACAGAATAACAAAAACCGTTAATATTATGTAGCTACCTATAACAAATAAACCATTAATGTTAAAAATCGAACATTACTCTTCTTGGGTTAACAGTGTTCATATATATATTTCATGAAATGTAAGTAAGACATGAAAACGTGTTTAGGTTTTGAAATAGATTGAAATATTTATCTGTATATTAACAGTAATTAAAAGATTTTGATTCGACTGGATTCATTGCATTTTTTTTTTTTTGATATTTGTCTTTTGATTAACATAAATTATCTGAATAAAATTGAAAATCAAAGCGAATAATTTTCGCTATTGAATGAATGCCACAAATTATGTTTAAGCTCCGCACGTATATATCTTAAATATATGCTCAATTCTGACAGCATTTATCTCTGATTTGTTGCTTAATCGCTTGTTTGTTGTCCACCTTTTTTATCGTCAGCCCGTCCGCAAATAAGTTTTATCAATTTCCAATGGAAAATGTGCGTCGCCTGTGACAGAAACCGCAAATTAAATCGTTTGGGTGCCGGGCAAAATTTATTTCTAGCGCGCGTGGCGAAAGCCACAAGCTCCACACGCACTGTGTGCAGTGCTAGGATCCTTTAACAAAAAAAAAAACCGAAAATTGGAAGCGCGTTGAAAATTAGAACAGGCTATGGCCGCGCCAAATCCAAAGCTAAAGCCAAATCACAGCCAGCAACCGAAATTATTCTGTGGATTTTGCGGCCTCGTCGGTGGGACAGTCGATGGGGCGGCGGTGTGCGGTGGTGCGGTGGTGCAGCATCGACAAGTGGTGCCAGTAGTGTGGACACACGTTCACACTCCGGGCCATAAATTGCACCGACGCGCCTTGCTGGCCAATAAATACTAAAGTCTTGATATGCCATAAAGTTGGCTGGTAGCTCGACTGGCTGGACAAGGTGAATGGCTAATTAAAGTTTGTGCCGCATTTTCAAATTAAAAATTGGTAATTTGTGTACAGTTCCCACCTCCAGTTTTTTATGTTTTTATTGCGTGGGCGGTGATCTCGTTGGTTTATGCCCCCGACATCGGACGATGGATGGTTTGGTTTGGTTTGGATTGGTCGTAAAATCTGGGCCATAGAGGGACAGGTTTACGGGCGGAACTAGACGTTTTATGGCCTGTAATTTTTTTTTCTCATTATCTCCGCCTGGCCAGGCCAAAATCGAGCCTTAAATTTGTCATTCGAATGGAGTGACACTTGAAGGGGATTTTCGACACTGACTTGTGCCATTTAGCATATTTAATAAATAATGCAAAGCATCAACATTTTTTTTAAGCTCCTCTCAAAGTCACACACGCACACACACACACTGTATGCTGTGTGTGGGAAAACATTTTTCATTTCGCTAAAAAATATTTTAATTTACTTTGCTGGCCACACATTGAAACCACTGCAACCGCATTTGAAAAACATTTTAAATACCTTTTACATTTTTACCATTTGTTTTTATTTCGGCCATTTCCCATTTTCCATTTCCCATTTTCCATTTGCAGTTTCTGGCAGCGGAAATGTTTGTGTGTGATTTTTGTGCGGCTCTAACTTAGCAGAGCTTTATTTCATTTCGTTTCCAATTTCATAGAGACTCCCTCACTCTCAACTTTTTTCTGTTTCAGTTTGATTTCAAATTTTTCAATTTAGTGGCATTTTGCTCTTTGGTGGCATTTTATTTAATAACAAAAATTCTAATTAAATTTTTTATTATTTACCCTTTGAGTTAGTTTTTCCGCCCGATCGCACGCTATATTGATTTCGCTATTTGTGTTTGCTTTCGGGCATGGAAAAGTGGTGCGCCGTCTCAGTCGTCACTGATTTAATGATTTTCTCACAGCCCTGCTAGAGTAAATAGTAAATGTTTACTTATTTGCTATTGGCAGCCACCCAATAAAAAGGGGAAAACCCTATTTGCCCCGTGCCACTTTTCAATGAAACAATCAGCTGTCAAAAAAATACATAAACATGGTGGGAATTTTCCGGCGTAATTGGAGCGGGTATTTGTCGCAGGACCACCGACGTTGATTTGCATGTCATTAACACACAAATCGAACGGAGCTGCAGGCGTCTAAAAATAGATGAGAATCGGGGTTCGACGGCTGCAACCGCGTAAACAAGCCGCCACTAAAAATATCACATGTCATTCCAAGGATGAGACGGAAATTCTAGAGGCGACTAATTAGTGCCAACAGAAGGAAGTCCCACAATATAGTATAGTATTGTGTGTGTGTGTGTGTGGGTGTGGGCGAAACGCAGTCAATATTGATGTGGCAGCCAGCCCGAGGAAAATTATCCCACAGACTGCAGACATTTTCCCATGAAAATGTTCTGAATTATTAGTCTTTGTGCCCATGGCCACATGGGAATTTTAGTGTAGAGCTCAGAGCAAACAACCAAAAGTTCTTCAATTCGCCAGTCCAAAAGCACTCCAAGTGGCAATTTATCCGAGCAGAATCAAAGCCCGACAACAGGTGCCAAACCGACCGACGACTTTCGGAGCAGGTGCTCTTGTTTTCCGAAATTCATGTGCACTTTGCTTTCCTTCTGTCTTTTTTTTCGGTTTGCATGGGAAGTGTAAACAAAACTAGGTATTTTGTTGAGTTTGGGGGTTGGGGAGCAAGTGTAACTAAGCCTTAATGGCCATGGTAACAGCTCGTATCCCGATCTACCAAACTGCATCCTGCAAGTTGTTGCGGTCCAAGGCCTGTAGTTCAACTCCCAACAAAATTATTAATACGACTTTGGGGAGCGGGAACTACAACTGGATGGCACCTCCTGCGGTTTCCAAGACAGCCGACGATGCATATGCCTCTGCAGGATGCGTATTCACTCTTGTCCTGCCAGTCCGGGCCCAAATTATGCCTAATCCCTGCCAACTGCTCGACGAAAAATTATCTCTAATGCAGACAACGAAATTTTGAATAATTTGGTTACGTTTTCTGTAGAAAATTAAATAATTTTCAACTTCAATGTTGGTTAAATATTCGTTAATTGTTGTTCTTAAGTAGAATATTTAGCATTTAAAAAGAGAACGTATTAAAAACGTGTAAACCCATAAAATGTTTTTAAGATTAAAGATTAAGATTAATATCTACAGTTGGTTCTCATAAATAATTTTGTTCATTCCCAATATATTCGATGACCTAAGACTTAATTCATTGAAATCAAAATTAGCAAGCAAGTTTGTCTCTTCATATGAAAAGTTAAATACATTTTTTTTTTCAAGTGATTTTGTGAGTTTTTGGAGAGTGTGTGTGTAGCTTTCAGATACTCGCACTCCGGCACTAAATTTACTGCACATTATTTAGTTGTTTGAGGCGAACGGCGCCTTTGCCTCCTCGTCCGACGATTCTCTTATCTGTTTGTGGTTACGGGATTACGGCTTTCCAGGCTTATACTATATACATTGTTTAGTCGTATATATAGTGGTGGTCTTGAGCAGTGCCACGCCCATATCCCGGGTAAACGAAACCGCCTCCGCCTTTAGTTGTGTTTGAACTTCTGCCGAGAGTTCGGACTGTGCTGAACTTCAAGGTGAGTTGGAGCTTTAGTTTAGTTTCAGCTGCAACGCCCAACATTATCCCCACCTTGTTTACGCATTTGTGCTGCGATTTTTTTACTACTCCTGCTGCTGTTGTTAGCTCCTCGCCCTCAACAAGTTTATCGCAGCAACTCTCCGACTCTAATTTACATAACCACGCAAATTAGTTTTGCGTCTGCTGCAGTTTTTATCTGCTCCCAACTTTGTCACGACCCTCCCCGTATGCCCCGCCCCCTTTTATCCCGCCGCCCACCGACATCGCAACTTAAATTTAGTTGCCAAAGTTATTTAAACTTTCCATACCCTTCTCGGTGGGGCACTGCAATTATGGGCAGGAGTTTGCCAGGAAGGAAGTAGAGGTGAAATCTTCAGGTGTTAAATTTGAAAGCTTTCAGTTTAGAATCTCTGCCTTGAAATTGCTTCTAAGGTCGTTTGGAAAAAGCTGTTTATTTTAATGATAACCATCAAACTTTAACTGGAACTAGGGGTGAATTCCAAAAGAAAAATCAAAAAAGTTATGCCAGATAACGTTGTTTCAAAAATTTAAATTTTTTTAAAGTATCATTTGGATGTTATGTTATTTATTTCAAAATTTTACTTCTTTATTTCTTTAAAAAAAAGAGTATAATTCATCCAGCTTGAATGTGCTTCTCACATTTTTTCCGCTTTTTGGTGAATCTACAATTTTTATTTTATTTTTTTGTACTTTTGGAAAAATGAATTTCGTGAAACTTTTTTGGCTGCTATCCCGCGCCCGCAATTTTAATAGACACCGAGCCCTTCACCTGTCGACTGCGAAGGGGGTCTTGTCTCGTAGTTAAGACAACAATTCATTTAACATAGAAGCAGACTTCCAGCCTCCGACTCCCCGGAAAACTTCACAGCCCCTGCTAACTCGTTATTATGTTTTTTTATTTTTTTTTTTGGAAAAGTTTTGCTAATGGCCCCCTGCCAGGCACAGTGGTTGGAAAGCCATTTACAAAGTAAGCTTATGCTAGCTAAAAATAGCACTTGATAGGAAAGCTGTGCCATTTTAGTGGCTTAAGATAGGAGTACATTTTAACTTGGCTCCACTGTACCACCGGTCGGGTATTGTTGCACAACTTTTATATGGGTTTATTGTGGACTTCCCAAAACAAATGATTGGCAGTCCAGTAAAAGGAAGTTTGTATTTTTAATGTAGTTTCTTCAATCAGGCTTCAAATGTTGCCTGCTTTCGACATGCCAGCTAATTGCGTTTTTCGTAAGTTGTAAACAAATAGATACAGTCACTCAGATACTGAGAATGACGAGCTATGATTTGAGTGCACAGAAAAAAAAAATTGAATTGTTCCGCACGACAGTAGAAAAATAAATAAATACAATTTCTGCC